TAGGCAGCGGCTGATGAATTATTACAAACAGCGTAATAAACGCCGTTGCTTGAAAATTTCCATTTTTTGTGAGATTCAACAATCATCGACTAGGTCCGTAAGGATATCGACTTGTTGAACTGAACCTCTAATGTAGCTACTTCTACACCAAAAATTGAAACTCCCCTTTTTATAATTTAACAAGTAAATTACGCACAATGTTATCTCGATCATGTTTCTACTACTTTTATTAGGTACTTTCTTTTAAAGACAGATCCCAATTCAAATCCCTAATCAAATAACTATAATCTTTAACATAGAACAAACAGAATAGCTCAAAAGCCCAACGCCAAAACACGACACTGTAGTTGTCCGAAGCACTTTTCGGTAACAAAGTAAACTAAAGTGAACAGTTTACTTCAGTCCCTGAAGAAGGTAATTCTGTTTGTTCTACAACAACTGCCAAAGTTTTTCCAATCTTCATATTTATAATCTTTAACGTTTTAATAAAATCTATAAATTACGAATTAATCACAATTCCTTGGAATTCCAGAAGAAATATGAGAATTACCTTTTATGGAAATCTAAGGACTTATAGAATGTGTAGCAAAACTCGAAGCCTTTCCTCGGATTAAAGAAGACTAGTGGTCAAAATTCGATTTAACTTCTTTTTTGAGGTTCTTTTGCCAAAAAGTATACTTCTATAATCATCCACTCCACATTTACACCGCGAATTGTTTACAGTGTGTGAACGTAAACAAAAAAATGTTTTATTTTGTTTAATTTAATATTCCGTAATTTAATTTCCGCTCCTACGGGACTTGAACCTTGACGAAACTCTTGTGCAAACAAGAGTGGGTGGATAGGCTTGCGAGTTTCGATGATTTAGAGAGCCGGACCATAGGTTCAACCATAATGGAGGGGTTCTTAAAGAGAAACCAGACTAAGACAAGTCCCTGAAAGAGGGCAGTAGCTCTTTCAGTACTCAGGGTGGCAGAGATCACGAGGATCGGTATGGCACCCTGATGCACAATACTGCGATGTGGAAGGCGACGGGAAACCACCACATTATGATCCCGAGTACAACGTCCGTAAAAAATTCAATGATGGCGTCCTGTGGAGTAAAGCACTCCGGACGTTAACTAGTCCCCCATTTGGATGTCCGGGCGTGGAGTACCTCGGGGAATGTCATCAATAAGTGCAATAGGGATAGGTGCAATGTTTCACGAGTCGGAGCGTGGAATGTTAGGTCAATGAGGCAGGTAGGGAAATTAGAAAATTTAAAAATAGAGACGGATAGATTAGAATTAGATATAGTAGGTATAAGTGAAGTCCGTTGGCCCGAAGCTGGAGACTTCTGGAGAGGATACTTTAGAATAATACATACAGGATCGGTGGAAGGTAATTCGGGGGTAAGAATTGTAATGCGTAGGAAAGCAGGACAGAGTGTAGAAAGTTATTTACAAAAAAGCGATAGGATAGCTATGGTTAAATTAAACTCGAAGCCGGTAAAAACGGTATTAGTGCCTACATGCTGCCTACATCGTCTTACAGTGATGAAGACGTAGAAGCAGTTTATGCATTTATAGAAGATGTGTTAAGTTACGTGAAAGGGCAGGAAAACCTAATAGATGCAGAAGACTTCAACGCAGTAATAGGTGAATGTAAAGTGGATGCAACAGCAAGTTTTTTTGGAATAGGCAATAAAACTAATAGGAGAGATGTAGGGTACAGAAGTAATAATATAAGAAGCGAAGCAAGGGTCATGTTGATAGAAAATGAGGAAAAGGCAGATACGTGGAAAGAATATTTAGAGATCTCATGCTTTGAGTTAGGAGATATATAAGGGAAGAAAGATAAGTGGAGATAGATGAGTTAGATTATCCCATAATGAGAGAAGAGTTCCATGTAGCATTAAAAAGCTTAAAGAATAATAATGCGCCAGATGAAGATAGGATACAGGCGGAAATTCTAAAACATGCAGGACAGGATGCTAGAGATCGTATGTTTAAGTTAGTTAGTCACATTTACGAAACGGGGATAGTCCCAGAGGATTATAAACGGAACGTGCTAGTAACCATACCTAAACTTCCCATGCGTCAAAAACCTTAACTAGAATTGTACAGAGTAGGATGGAAAAAAGGGCGGAAGAACGATTAGGGGAAGATCAGTTTGGGTTTAGAAGAAATAGAGGAACGCGGGAGGCCATTCTAGTTTTACGTGTAGCAATAGAGAAAAAGGAAAGAGTGCGTACATAGGATTTGTAGATTTAGAAAAAGCTTTTGACAATGTTAAATGGAACAAGATGTTAAATATACTTAAAAATGTAGGGATGAGTTACAAAGATAGAAGAGTGATACTTGGTTTGTATAAAGATCAACAGGCAATTAGAGCTATGGTTCAACGTGGAGAAGTAAATATTAGGAAGGGAGTCAGACAGGGATGAACACTCTCACCGCTATCAACATCATTAATGACAGTTCAACTGTAGGTATAGATATACAGGGACAAGAGATCAGTATGCTTATATTTGCAGATGATATAGCAGTATTAGCATCTAAGCAAAGAGCAGTTAGAGATCGCTTTAAATAAAATGGAAGCGGTATTGACAAAACAGTAATTTAAACAAAAATACTGGTATGTAAGGGAAGATAAAGTAGAGAAAGAGCGAATATAAAAATATGAGAGGAAAAATTAGAAGAAGTTGCCGGTTTTAGGTATCTAGGAAGTCAGATAAGTCAGGACGGAACGAGTAGTAGAGATATAAAGCAGTGGATAGCATGTATATGGAATATATTTGTAACACATACTTAAATTTTATTTCTGTGCACTCCTCTATATAAACTTAATTTTCTTCATGTATTAATAAATTGATTTATTTCGACAGCATCATCATCATAGGGTTGTCAGTCCTAAGTCTCTAACTCTTTCCTATGCTTAGTTAATCATTGCATTTCCCTAAAACTACATCATCCCACATCCTGAACTATTTGTGAGCAGTAATCTAATCTAGGTCCACCTCTACCCCTCTTAACACCTGTTTCTGCTTCTAATATGTTGCTAACTAGCCGTTCATGTCTATGAAGGTGAGAATTTATTTAATAATAAAATTTAATAAGAGAAATGAATTGTAGATTATAGAAAATATTGCCACGAAAACGATTTTTGTTTATTAATTTTTACGCTACAGTTTACTTCTCGATATATACCTACTATTAAATTTTTTGTATTGATTTAGGGCAATATATTACATCGTGTATGTTTATAATAAATTGATAGATACAAAGACTTAATATATGCAATCCGTACAACACCTGCGTTGTTGAACAAATCTACTGTATGACACTGTTAATAAAACATTTAAAATAAAGAACAGTATGTAGCTACAAACGGCTCTTATTTTGTTATTAAATTAAAATTTTACCCTAATTTACGTTGATGCCCACTAAAAATAACTTAACAATTACGTTATCTTAGGTGGGTGGTTAGGTATAAAGGTAAATAAATGTTTATTGCCGATGTAGGTGTATGACTTCCTCAGGGCTAGAATTGCGTAAAATTATACAATTAAGATTATTTTATAGTAAGTAATACTTCTGAATTGCAAGTCATTAATAACTCTTGTACTTGCTTTGTGATAGTCCTGAAATATGGGGTGTTTCTGAAATAGGAAGCTAGCATGCAGGAGATTTATATGGTACTATAAAACAAGAAAATTAAGTAAGTACCTCCATCGTTTTCGATAAAAACGTACTTCAAAATACAGACAAGGGTCAGTCCGGCCTTAGTAGGATCTTGCAGGGATTTACAACAATTCAACGTGGAATTCAATCAGCTGGTAATTAGCAGTTGTATTTCTTTGGTATTTCTGTACTCATGCATTGTTTGCTATTTGTTAGATTAGGTAATTGTAATTGACGATGTTTATGCTATAGCCTGCCTTGAGTAGTTTGTTTGTTTGTTAACATTGTAGACTTGTCATCATCATCATAAGCTCGTCAGTCCTAAGACTGGTTAAACACGTACCTGCACTCTCTCCTATCCTTAGCTAAACTTCGCATTTCCCTAAAACTAGAACAACCCACATCCTTAACTATTTGCGAACAGTAATCTAATCTTTTTTTTGAGCTTTTACCGGATAACACAACGATTAATTCGGAAGTCTACTGTCATCAGCTGGACAAACTGAATGATGCACTTCAACAGAAAAGGTCAGAACTAATCAACAGGAAAGGTGTAGTGTTTCACCAAGACAACGCGAGACCTCACACAAGTTTGGTCACTCGCCAAAAGCTTTTACAGCTTGAATGGGATACAATGCTACACCCACCATATTCTCCAGACCTGGCACCATCGGATTATTATTTGTTCCGGTCACTCCAAAATTTTTTAGACGGTAAAACCTTCACCTCAAATGAGGAGGTCAAAAACCTCCTCGATCAGTTTTTTGCCAGCAAAGACCAAAAATTTTATGAGCGTGGAATTATGCTACTACCAGAAAGATGGCAAAAGGTGTTGGACCAGAACGGTCAATATATAATTTAATAAAGTATTTGTTTATTATACGAAAACTGTCTTTCATTTCCACAAAAAAAAAAACGAAATGACTTTCCGAACAACCGATAGTTACGTATTTTATGTCTTAATTATTAGGTTCTTTGTTACCCCCACAGAATAATTGGTTTACCCCCGCGGGGTCAATTACCCCCCGGTTCGGAATCAGTGGTCTATAGCAATTTGTGAGGTGGACAATAGACTAAAGAGCACCATAAACAATTTCAAATCATTGTATTGTTTTTAATCTTACCTGTTATCAATGAGAAAATTTCCGTTTTACTGGAAGTAATAAAGGATTTCTATACATGTATATTCAGAATGCATTTCAAGCTATGATTTTTATAATTTGGATTTCATCGTCTATAACCCATAAAACGGGTAAAAGTAGTGAACTACAGAAAGTCATTAATTCTGCAATAAATATGGTACCTGTCGCCAGTCACTAGATATACCTACATGTTGATAACACAATTTCATTCACTCTGCACGCATTTATAAACTTTTTGAAAATCGGTTTCAAATAATAACCGTGAATAAACCAACCGTTAATTTTGCAGAGATATTTCAAAATGAATTTTTACATTTCCATTTCTGTCACGTTGCTGCTAATTTCTATAGGTGGAATAGTGTTAGTTGAATCAGTTGGTGAGAAGGCTGAAATTAGTAAGTTCGTAGAATAGCAATTTTAATGATTTACTTATTTTTGATATGACTGTTTCCGAAAATTATAGTTACACCTATTTATGAAAAAAGTACATATTGAATCATTTATTTTTTCTTTATAGCACATAAGAAAGCATTTACCAAATAGGACAATTTTAAAATTCTTTCAGTGACAAAATTGACATAGAATACACTTTGTACAAAAATTATCTGCATTAATAATTGACTTCCCAAACACTTTGCATTTGGTTGATTAAATTAGATTCATTGTTGCTAATAAATTGATAAATTACATAATATATACCTACATACTTACTGAACTATTGAAATTAAGTATAATAGAAATCATTATCGAAAGATAGAAATTAATAGTCCAGGATCCCTGGTACATTTTTGCACTTGATTACTATCAAGCTAATTTTCCGTGAGTTGCTTCATTTTGATGACACGCCCAACAACTTCTTGTAAGAAACTTTGATTGTGGTAGCTAACAGAGGTAGCAATGATAAAATATGTTGGTTTGGTGATTCTCAAAAATTTATTACTAACTGGGTTTTTTTTTGTTTAATCTCAAGATAATTATCTAAATTATTCGAAAAAATATTTGTCCTACAAAATGTATGGTTTGATCAAAGAGGTCAAACAATTTGTTAATGTTTTGTTGATTTTAAGTTGACGATTATTAATTTTTAAACTTCTTGTTGAGTGAAATACATAATTTTTTAATTTCAAATATATATTCAATGGTAGGACCGGAAGAACGTACCACGCAGTTTGTAGGACAATGTGACTGTTAAATTATATAAATATTAACCAAGTAAAAAAAAATCAGCTGGTTAGTAATCATTTATGATGACCGCGTTATCGGTACATGTTGGAAAGAGGGGACTCTGATCGAATCATAGATTTTGTAATACAAATATTTTTTCGAATAATTTAGATAATTATCTTGAGATTAAACAAAAAAAACCCAGTTAGTAATAAATTTTTGAGAATAATCAAACCGACAAATTTTATCCTTGCTACCTCTGTTAGCTACCACACTCAAAGTTTATTACAAGAAGTTGTTGGGCGTCTCGTCAAAATGATGCTACTCACGGAAAATTAGCTTGATAGTAATCAACGATCGAAGGAAATCATAGAATAGCTAAGACCAGAATAAGCGGACCCAGAATCGAACCCAATGATGCCGGGTACTCGGCAGTGTAATTCTACCAGACAGAAAAAAGAAAAAAACACCGCTAATAATCATTTAATAAGTATAACAAAATTGACCCAAGTTCGCACCGACCAAACCGATGTTTTGTAAAAATAAGATCGTCATTTAGTGGTAATTTTGCTAACAGTATGTATAAAATTTACGTCACAAACAGTTTCATGGCAATCTCTCACCAATACTGTTTCAGTATTTTTATTACGAGGATACAGGATTATAGGATTATAAGGTTTTATGGTAAGGCGTTTAAAGGATTATGATGTTATACATTTAGTGGAAGAGTTGATTGGTTACGGATTTTGAGTTTAAAATCGTTTAGGATTATCATTATTAACGGTTTCAGTAGACTTTGGAGTGCTTTTTGAGGTTATGACCAAATCTTGACGTGCTGGGGTTAAATTGACCGCGGATTTGGATTCAGCGACCCTTGAAACATGCGGTATATATTTTCAGATCTCCAGACAGTTTTTTTAACGGTTTTGGTGACTTGAAGTGTTTTCTGAGGTTATGTCCAAATCCTGACTTGTAGCTTCTCTTTAAAATATTCTTTGAAGGATTTTTTGAGGTTCAATAGATGTACATTTATGGTTTCATCTACATTTGACTTTACTTGTAACTCATTTTCTTCAAGAAATTTGTTTAGAAGAGGAAAGCTTTCGTAATTTTTTTGTTCAATACATTGCTACTGTTCGTTTCAAGAAGTTTGAGATATCTCTTCCCTTTATCATGATGCGCCGTAGCATAATTCCAAATTCAATTATATTTGTTTGCAGAGCTCATTTCTCCACCGATGATCGAGCGAGAACAAGATAAAATGCAAAATTATTCAAACTGCTTCGTTAAAATTTAAGAATACGCTTTATTTAAAAGCATATTTAACCAAAAATAATAACAAGTGAATTAACTTAACGCTCTATACACCTATAAAACTTTTTCTTTGTTTTCTATTGTTAATTTATATACATTTTTGTTNATAGAGTGGGGGGGGGGGGACTATTGTGAAGACGGATATTAAAATATGTAACAAAAATTAATTAGCTTGTGTTCTATTCATTTTTCCTCGAACTTAATTGCCACACCTCGTATGTTTCTGTTTGTCTATTAGCAAAGCTTTGATTAATATTACTTTAATGTGACTTTATGAATAAGCCTATCAAAGGTTTCGAATTATTAAGGGCTGAACAGTACTATATTTATCACCCACTCATCAAAACTCTAAAACACTTAAGTGTCCTAGAAAAATAAAGGTTGAATTCGCAAAACGTAATTTAATGATTAATTAAACTTGTCAAACTATAAGCTCAATATCAGAGAACGTAATTCGTATACTTTAATGCCTATTTGAGGCATAAATATTAAAACTTTTTAAAAATGAATGATACCTTCAGGGAAAAAGAGCCCCCGAAGAAAAATTCCTTTATGATGCAGCAAAAAAAAGTTGTATATGCATGAGTTAGGCACAAGCAGGCGCATCATCATCATCATCATAAGGTCGTCAGTCCTAAGGCTGGTTGGACACGCACCTCCACTCTTTCCTATTCTGAGCCAATCTTCGCATTTCCCCAAAACTAGAACAACCCACATTCTTAACTATCTGCGAACAGTAGTCTAATCTAGGTTTACCTCTACCCCTTATAAATTCCGTTTCTGCTTCTAATATGGCTCTGCCTAGATCTTCATGCCTCAGAAGGTGTCCCCAACCAGTCTTAAGACTGATGACCTTATGATGATGATGACCTCTGTTAGCTACCACAATCAATGTTTCTTACAAGAAGCTGTTAGGCGTCTCATCAAAATGAAGCTACTCACGGAAAATTAGCTTGATAGTAATCAAGTGCAAAAATGTACCAGGGATCCTGGACTGTAACTCGAGTTGCTTAAAAATATACAAAACAATTCATTTCTAATTAATTTTTGTTCGAAAATAAAGCTACGCATGCATTTAAAGTTCTACTTTATACTTTGCAGAGTGCAGCGAATACGGAGAGTTAGTATACAGTTATGAAGAAAGCCCAGTACTTTCTCGACAAACAAAATTAGTAAAAGTGTCACAATGTGGCATAGTCGATGTTCCTTTAATTGTTGGAGGAGAAAAGGCACGTGAAACGGAATTTCCCCATATGGTACGATACAATTAAAAGAATTTTTTTTATTAAATTAAGAGAGACTAAGATCAGAGATGTCATTTCTAACGTTTAAATCTGAGCTCAGGATTACCCCAGCATCTCAGTTTGGTGATATTGTAATCTCAAGTCCGAGAAATACTATACTCTCGGGGAGCATTACTGTGTGAAGTAAAAAGACAACACAACCGATAGAGTAAAAGGTATACTTCATTTACTTTCTCTAGCGATGTGCCCCTTCCAATGTCTTGGATACGCGCTGGCAAAAGCGTAGGTAGGGAGATAAAAGCTCATTATTCTCTCGACTCTTGTTCATTAAACATACTTTTTCATACAGTACCTGCCAAAAGTTTTGTTCAATCATGAATATTAGTGCGAGTCGAAAACAAGCGTTAAAGCCTTTAATATGTCTTCAAATATAAATAAACATCTCGTTGATATTTTCAGTAGT